TTGGAGGACAACAGCCGTCGCACAATAAGAACCACACACACACACACACACACACACACACACACTTGTGAAACCAAGAGCTGCAGCTTTAAAGCTAAACCATCTGTACAGGTGCGGCGACTCTGACACCTGCAGATCCACATCAGATTCACAAAGAAACCGCAGCGTAACATTTGCAAAATAAAGTAAGACGTGCAACAAAGAGAGGACAAAGAATGGAAATACCCCGATCAGCCATGACATTAAAACAACCTGCGTACTGTTGTGCCATCAAACAGTTGTGACCCATCGAGGCAGCACCTCTGGTGATGTCCTTTGATGTCTGGCACCACGATGTTTGCAGCAGATCTCTTGGGTCCTGTGGGTTGCAGAATTGGGCTTCTCACATCCAGGAGAAGTTCAGTCGGATTGGGATCTGGGAAGTGTGGAGGCCCGGTCTTGGGCTCTCTGTTGTGTTCCTCGAGCCATTCATGAGCAGTTTTGCCGTCACCTTGGGATGGGTGTACTGGTTGTGCAGAACGTTTTACAGTAACAAGATGCTGAATGTTCTGTTGTCAACCTGACGGTGGTTTTAATGTTGTGGTGGGTCATTGGAGCTTACCTATAATGACTGCACTGTTAGAAAAAATGAGTTAAATGAGAGATTGTTTCCTTCCAGAAGAAACATGAACAAAGTTTGGTCTCTTGAAAAACCAACCGATCACATGCAATAGTTTCACCGCTGAAGAAAAGCAGCTGCTAGCAGGCTAATTAATGGCTGATTATCCTTCTAAGTGGTTTTTAGATGAAGGGGGAAGGTGCAGGTCAAGGCCCAACTTCCTTACAGCATTATTATCTAACATTTTTAAGCAACACACTTTACTTCAACCTTATTTAAACCTGAAGAAAAAAGCTCATTTGCTTTCTTTCTAATCAGTGCGGGGCTCAGGAGGATGATGGACAGTTTAACAAAGTGTTCATGCAACCATTCAGAAAAGTGTTAAACAAAAGCCAAACACGTTAAATCTTGTGTTTTTGGGGAGAACAAGAAGTTGTCTGGGTCGGCCGGAGCTCTGAGTGGTCCAGACACATCATGCTGCAGTTCACTGTAAACCTGATACCCAGCTGACAACACATCACTTGTGAATAGAGAAGCTGCAGATGATCTTTTTCTGAAACATATAACTGTAAACATCACGGCTGCTGACATGTTCTCAGTGTTCTTCACACCCTGTGTTGTTTTTAATCATCTGGGTTGAAGCGAAACTGAATTTTCCAGATTGCAGATAAATGTCTGTCAATAACAAGTGCTGATATTGTGGGATGTTTTCTAATATTGAAAATGTTGTTTTCATCTGGAGATGTGATAATGACAATATGTGTGAATCTCTTATAGACACACACACACACACACACAGAGCAACACTTTTAACCACAGCAGAGGAAGTTGGGGGCTTTGAAGTCACAATGTGATGACTTTATAACACCCAGTGAGCAGCACGGGGGGGATTTTGTTGGTTGGATGATTTGTTTCAGTGGTTGGCGTTGGAAGTGGTCACTTCCTCGCAGCTCTCGGCTCTCCGTCAGAAAGCGGCGTGAACTCCGTGGCTCCCGCTGAAGCCGATGACTCGACTGTAAGGGGCCACACTCTGCACTGATGTGACGCTTCTCCGTTCAGTCAAAGCGACGGTGGGTGACGGCAGCTTTCAGGAAAAATCCCTCAAAAGCTGAGTGTGTTTTGAAATATAGCCCACAGCGTCTCCATTCGAAAAGAAGTACTTGAGTAGCACCGCTGTTGGTTTGTCAGTAAATCAGAAAAGTTTGAAGTTTGAAATTTAAATAATACTTTAAGTTGGACATATGAGGGAAAAAGGTCATTTTTTTGCATATTTTTAACTCTGACACATTTGTTTTTGTCATATGAAAGGAATGTCAGATTAAAAGCTGATGTTCACCTGTTGAGGTAAAGGTTCAGAAAGGTCATGATCAGACAGAAATATGACCAGATTATCTTTCATTGCTGCTTCACAATAAAGGCCCTCAAGTGGTGCGTCGACGGAGATCTCTTACCACAAAGGAGCATCAGCAGGAAGAGTTTTGTTTGTATTAGCAGCAGATTTACTAACTTTTACATAAAATCATGGGTCAGTGTGATTTTTTTTTCTTTGACTACAATTATCTAACTTGCAAAGGAGCCCTGAGTGAGCTGTGCTGTGTTACAGTAAAAGCCTCTCATCTACTAGAGAGCCCTCAGTAGAGGGACACAGTGGCCCAATGTGTGCATGTTTACCTGATTCTGTGTTTTACTGTGCTTCTACTTGAGGATGAACTTGATGCATAATGTAATAAGAGCTTATTCTTTCATGTAACACAGATATTTTGCATGGAGGGGAAGCGTTTTGCTGTAATTTACAGCTAAACACCAGAGATTAATGACCTTAAGTGTGACCTTGACCTTTCATCCAAGGTCAAATTTCACATCACCAGTATGGGTTCCTGTCTGATTGTTATTAAAAAAGTGTTTATGTGACAGTTTTTTTCAAGTTCTAATGGATTTAACATTTGTGATGATTTAAGACTTTCAGTGTGACCTTGACCTTTGTCTCAAGGTCATATGTTACATCACCAGTTTATAGGTCTCAAATGTCTTCCTAAGTTAGCGTACTAAACTTGTGTCTTTTGTGCATTTTCAGTCATACAGAGCTGTTTTGGGGAAATGCGACTAGACTGTTAACAGATAAAAACAAAAACATGCACACACACAGAAAAACGAACACACAGGCACAATTACTCTGCAGCTGCCCATCGATAGGCAACGACAAAAATGGAATCCAGGAATCGGTTAAAGCCTCTGGGAGAGTGTCTCTTCTCTCTGTGGTTGATTTGTGCCTGTTTCCACCTGGTGATGCTCTGGAACTGTATTTTGCAATAAGGCTTGTTTTCTGTTGTGTCATGTGATACTGTTACAGTGAGCTTTGCTTCTTTTCTATTCTTTGACTCGAAGAGCACAAACCTCTGTCAGGGTCACCAGGCCACTCTTTTGTGCTACTGGACTTTACGAACACAAGCAAAACACTATTTGGCTGTTTGCAGCGCCCCCCAGTGGTCAGAGCTTGTGGTCGCCGACTGCCCAACACCAGTCTCTGCTCTCCTTGTAGTTACTTCAGAAGGCTGTTTGAAAGAAATCGTCTTAACTGTGAGGCTGTATATCTGCAGGCTTTCCTCTGGGACTTGTCCATAGTTTATAGCAAAATTAGTGTGGATTGTGTGAGGAAGAACTGTACTTGGAAGTTTATCTGTCAGGGAAATCATCTGGCTGCTCGTTGATGTATATTGCACATTTGTTTTTTTTTTGTTTTTTTTGCATTTACAGCCTGATGAGTTGTTTCCATATGTTCATAGATTTCCTTACTTTTGGTAATTATTTTACAGTGGAGCAGCTGTGACAGTGGGTTCCAGTCCTACTTTTTGTACCATTTTGAGCCCTCATGAACTCACACAGTCTACTACAGCTAAAGTTTAACACTGGCCTTAGTTTGTGGCCTTTTGTGGAGCTTCAGTTTTCTTTGATTTTCATACAATCCATGAAGAAGGAAAATCCAAAACAGCAGAATATGTACCTCACAGAGTGCTTTGATCTGGGCTTCACTCAAGGAATCAACAATAACTCTTTTGTAGAAACTGATCATATGATTTAAAGTTACATGAGCTCCAGACGCAGACACCAACATTTAATGCGCTCTTTCTTCGCCTTACAATCAGCTTTTGTAATCAACTCATTCATTTAATTAAGCCCTTTTGTTTACATGCTTACTAATGATTTATCTCCCAAATTCACTTAAAGGAAGATAAACAGGAAATCATCATTTTAAAGCTGTGGTTTTAGGATTGTATTATAATGAGTAAAACATACAAACTGATGCTCTTTTGACGACATAGACAGACTTTCATCTTTTAAAGATTCAGCTGGGGGTCAAAATGTGCTTTACCTGTGATATGTTTTTCTAAAGAAGGCCACAAATATGTTTCCTCCACTCTTTGTTGTCTCAG